TTACAACCCCTGGTTGACGCCTGAATTTAACACTTTGAAGCTTTTTTCATGCTTGATGATACCACAATAAAAACAGCATTCAGGTGAGAGAAGTCTCCACACCCATCAAGAAAAATGTTGCTGCCGAAAGCTGATTCTTCCGGCTCTAAGCGACCTACTGTTTTGTTTGTCACGCAGTTACGAGAGACAGAAAGAGACTTCACTAAAAGTCAAGACTGAGATAGAAATAGTCGTGTTAATCCAAAGTATTTGTTACTACCCAATGTAGAGAGCGTTCTTTTTAAAATTACTTGGAGCGCAGTCATTTTAAATTGGAAAATGTAACATTCTGGTTTTATGCGTGTGCAACGTGAACTAATTCCACTTCCGAAACGACAAAACCTCAAGTTTTTCATGAAATCGCCATGAAAGACGGAGACATAGAGTGAGCAATAAAGGAAGATGAACCACGGTTGATCTCAATGTACATGTACTCCGCAGAGCTATTACTGAGTCACAATTGGGGTGCTGGTTGGTACAGGGGTGAATTTTTTAATGAGAGTCATTGCCTATTCTATAGGGGCACTCATTACCAGCCAAAAATGACAAAATGAAATTCGTGAGGGCGCCTATAGTAAGGAGGGCACCAAATCCAATCCTGAATTTGTATAACGTATTTAACTGGAAATTGACTGTATGCTTGAGTTTTATGGAAAATTGGTTGCCTCTGACTGTTGTTATTTCTGAAACAGACGTTTCGACTAATGCTTAAGCCTTCACCAGTGATATGAAAAAACGAAGATCGTTATCATACACTATTTAAACTTGAAACGTGACGCGAGGCTTGCGCTCGTGACTATGTATTTTATGCTCGCGCGAGGTCTTTATAGGCTTCTGTAAGTACGATGTGATCGTTCCAAGTATTCGGATCCAAAGTAGAGTGCCAGGCTTCGAGGAAAAGTCTCTCGTGGTAATTAGTTTCGAAACCAACGACCCTGACATCTCTCGTGTTTCCTGCAGAAACTTGTACCAAACACACAGTTAGGCACATTTTGTCCCAAATTTAAAAGTTATTGTTTAAGTGCAGATAAAAAAAAAAGCTACTTTCTTATGAAACATAGAATGTACTCACGGGTTTGATTTGACGATTGAAAATGAAGACATGGCGCCAGTCTAGTACTGAGACAGTCCTGAGACAGAGCAAAACAACACGCACGGCAAACATCCCGCTTTCACGTCTGCGACCTCACGTCGAAAACGTCTGCACATGCGTACTGAATTCGAAGCTCATATTTAAACTTCCGGTTGACGTTCGTGAATCAAAAACGTCCGATGCTTAAGCTCTCTATTTTCTAGCGGAGGTGGAGGGGGGCTGGGAGGTGTGTTGGGAGGATCACATGGTTTTCAGGGGAAACGGGTAATATATCGTTTATTGTATCTTAATAAACGTTTCGGTTGTGTAATATCGTTGGGTATTTTAACGAGTTGTGCCGTATTTCGACGAGTACGTAGGGCTAATCACATGATTAATAGAGTGCACGTGCAAAATAACTCTTGCCTTTTTCACAGTGTTTTCCCTCGTAACCAGGTGGACACACATACTTGTATGCCTTGTCTGTAAATCCAACAAGGCAAGTTGCATTGTTGTAGCACATGTTGAAGCAACACTTGTTCCAATGGGGAAAGATATTGAGCCT